TCGCTCGAAACGCCCCTAGATTGGTGGAGATCCGCTACTTGTTTTTCAACTGCGTATGTGTTTTTCCCGTCGAGTGTGTCTTCTACGTGTGTGTCTATCCCTCCCCGTGTCTCCTCTCCCTGGGCCTTCCTCGCCGTGTGGTTCTTGTCAGCTTCTCGTGTCTTCTTTCTTACGTAAGTCCCCTCGGCTTTTGTCTTCTCCTCCTCGGTCGCCTTTCGTAAATGTATCCTCTCAACTTGTATTTCCTTCTCCTCCCTGCGTGTCTTTCCTATCTGGGTCTCCTCCGCCTGTCTCTTTTTCCCCTCTTTCTTTTTGCCGCCGGGGACTTCCTGGCGGAGGAGGAGGAAGCGAGGGGGAACGACGCGCAGGTGGAAGGGGACGTTTCGCGGCCGGATGTCTGCCGTCAAGAGGGTGGCGTTCCGGAGATGCGCTGCTGCTGGAGGCTGTGAAACGCGGGGAGAGGGGCGTGTCTGGTCCGCGGGGGAGTGCACCGGGTGGGTTGCAATGTTGATGAGTCTCTCGTGGTGGTTGCTCTTCTCGTCTGAGCGGGTTGGCGTAGCGTGGGAACGGCGAGCGTGACCTAGCTTTCCAATGGGATTCAGTGTAGCGGGTTCGACTGCGTTTTTATGGGGATTCGAAGCCTCCCTTTGTTGGAATGAGACGCCTCGCGTCTTTTCTCGATTTGTTTGAGATTTGAACGACTCGAGATACTGCAGATAGAGCAAGGTGGCGAGGTAATCGTTCCTCCTTCCATCTTTATTTATTCTGGACGGATCCCGAAGCTCGACGTCCGGTAGAATGCGGGATCTAATCAGCGATTCTTGGGCTTTGTTGACACCTGGAGAGGAAGGGAGCGCCGCGAGGCAAAAACTCACCTGCAAATACGCACAGGCGAGTCCGAACACGACGAGTGCGCTTAGTCGCATCTTGTCCTTATTCTTCTTACGTTATATGAATAATAATAATAGTAATAAATAATAAATAACACTTCCAGGCGTTGCTTACTAAACTAATGACACCTCCTTCGACCAGTGCATTATTCGCACTGCACGAAATCCAACATGCTATGGCCGCTGCTATTCGGACCTGTCGTTGTCAAATTTCGTTGTCAGGCCGACTTATATGTTGCTGTTGTCAGTCTCCACTCTTCTCTCGCAGGATGGGGATCGTGTTGTCAGAGATGTTGTCAGGTAGATATCTTGCTGTTTGTCAGACTTCTTTACGAAGGGAAATCGTGCAGACAAAGAGATTTTTTTTCTATCAACAGGACTATCCGTTGGTGTTGTCAGAGATATACGCTGTTGTCAAGTTCCTCTATATATATCTCCGTTGTCAGACTACCAACTCCCTCTCTTTTTTTTCCCCCTTCTATATAAGATGTTGCAAAGGGACACGCTCGTGCTGCAAGATCGTGCTCGAGAAAGTTAATTGCTGCAACATCGACTGAACGTGAGTAAGTTCGACATTCCGCGATCAAAGGAGGCCGGTTGCTAGTGGTGTTGCAGGTGTTGTTGATGTCCGCTGACTGGTATTCTTCGGGGTTCGGGTTTTAAGGGTTTGATGATGACGTTTTTGGTGTTCACTCGTGTTCATTTAGTGTTTAAATTAAGTTTTTTTTTTTATGACGAACGAACACGACGAAAGCGAGAAACAAAAACTTGACCGAAACAAACAAAAAAGAAAGAAAGAAAGAAAAAAAAAACAGATAACTATATAGAATGAATGCACAAATAAAGAAAAGATGAGAAAGGAAATACCAAAAAAGATGACAGACACCTACAAAAAGAGAGAAAAAAACGGGTAATCTGATGTAGTAACAAACAACAACAATAACAACAAAATAAGAAAAAAACAAAAAAAGCGAAAATAAAACACGAAAAACAGACAAAAATTAATTAGAAAAAAATATCTGATTTATCAACAACACGAACAATAACAAACACAACAACAATAACAACAACAAAACAATAACAAAACTCACTCAAAAAAAACTAAAAAAAAGACAATAGATCTCGAAAATAAGAATCAGATTTACATACAACAATAACAACCACGCCCACGCCCACAACCACGCCTACAACCACAAACAATCCCAGCAGAAGTCACACCAAGTCTTTGATCAACAGAAGGCAATTCCTTCTCCCACGGACTCGGCGGAACGTACGTCGTATGTACACACTGTAATGACAAGCACTCTCACGTGGTCGACATCAATGTTCACAGTTCCGACCCATGAGGTTGACATACTTCAAGGCTGGTGAGGTTTTTTCCCGACCCCTTTTTCCCCTCAGTTTTGGCGTTTTTTATGTTTTTTTTTTTTATTTTTTAGTACTTTTTCCTTTGGGGAGGATTGTTGAGTGATTTTTTTTGGGGGGGGAACTGTTTTGTTTTTTGTTTTTTTTGGGTTTGTTTTTTTTCTTTGTTTTATTTTCTTTATTTTCTGTTTCTTTTTTTTAATTGTTTTATTTCCCGATCGTTTTTCCTTTGCTTTGTTTTCTGG